CTTAATCTGACTATGTAAGTCAGAATCAGTACCTGTAATGAATAGGATACTCATAGCTATATTAAGTAATTAAAGAAAGGGAAGAAGTAGTCCTTATGGACAAATTTAGATTTTGCATGCAAGAAGTTAAATCTAGTTTTAAATATAATTAGATATGAACCAAGGAAACGGGAGATGAAAGATTCATGACCAGAAAAGGCAGCTAAAGAACTTTAGTGTAGAAGGGTATTCTAGGGTGGCCAAAGGAGAAGGAAATAATTTCCAGAGCAGGAAACATGAAATAGAAGCTCTGGAGTTATAAACTCAGAAACAATGCAATAGAAGACTAGAGGGGTGGCAAAAAAAAAATAATTTCCTTTTGGGTACACAGGACAAAGAAGACAGAAAGCATTTTACTCAAGGAGACCCCTCCAACAGATATTTGCCTCAATTAGTTTTATTGGAACACATTCCTATATTCTAAGCCTTGTATTGAATCTTGTGTATTTTGTGTAGAATGGACACAATTTCTTGTAACTCCTCCACTCTCAATATATTTATATCCAGGGTGTGGGTCTTTCCATTTAAGTGGGATATAGAATTTCATGAGTAAAATCAGTACATTTTTGTGTGATTATCTTCACTCCTTTCCAAAAGGCTGTTAGGATTAGACAGGATCAAAATGTGGAGAAGTTTCCCCTGTTCCCCATGGCATCTCCAACAACAATCTGAGACAGAAAGGATACATTTTTGTAACACTATTATTGTTATGTACCATCTCAGAATGGCTTTAAAGTTTTGTTTCCTTTACTTAATTACAGATTGATCATTTGAGGGAGAAATGTGGTATTTTCTGATACTGGCCTTCATCAAAAGTCTGGTGCAGGTTAGCTTCCCATTGTTGAAAATATGGAGTTTTATAATCATAGTTTACCTCGGGGAGGTTAAGAGAGAGTATAACGCAGAAAGAAAATGTCAGATAGGACCAGATTGGTTGGAGAAAGAAGCAACCCGAACACTTAATAATTTAAAAAACCTCCCATCACTTCAAAGAACAACATTTTGGTGACATGACAGGCTTTACGTTTTTCGGAATTGAAAGGGTCTCCAATACAGGGAGAGAGGGGGAAGCCTGGGGGATATTTAAACTTCAAACTAGGGTCACTTCAAGATTGAAGCAAAGATTTAGATTTGCATTTGACTGAGTTCTCTTTCTTTATTTTTACCTGCTGAGCACATTATCCCTTTCTCCATTTACTTTCTAAATTGAATTTCTAATGCTCTTGTCTGTGGCCATTTTTTTTTACTTTAGCTGTATATTTTGTCTTTTTTCTGTTATCTGTTTTCTTTTATTATGATATTACTTTGTTCAAAGTTACTATATCATATATAATTGATTTGTTATTTTATGCTATTTTTTGTTCTTCTTGTGGGGGAACCGCTTGAGGGGTTAATCATCAGCTCTATTTGATTTCCCTGCTTGCGGTCTCCCCCCTATGTCACAGTTAAGATACTATATATTTTTATCTGTTCACTGATTACATTTTATTATGACTAAGGCCCTAATGTTGGGGCAGAAATGTGTAAATTTTTCTACATGATGGATACCTTTATGTCTTGATAGATACTGAATAAAGCTTGAATCATTTTATCATCATTTACGTTGGTGCTTGATTTTCTAGTTCCTTAGCTCCCTTAGGACCCAATAATATAAGCCATCTGGACTTAGTGATTTGTTCACATTATGTTTCTATAGTCTCTTTTGTACCTGGTTTTCAGTCACTCACAGAGGTACCTTTGGTTAAACATCATTAATATTACCGTTAGATCAACCCATCTTTTTACTTAAAAATGATTTAATACATCTGCCCTTTCCCTGTTTATTCTGATCAGCTTTCCATGCCCATCTGCTATTGTTCCTATGGGGTTGATATACTAAAACTGGAGTGTACAAAATCTGATGCAGCTCTTCATAGAAAACAATCGGCTTCCATTATTATTTTTATTTGGGGGGGAGGGGGCAAAGCTTAATTGAACAAGCTGAAGTTAGAAGCTGATTAGCTACTGTGCACAGCTGAACCAGATTTTGCATTCTCCAGTTTTACTAAATCCATCGCCATGGGTTCTTTCATAAAGTTTTGCTATTGATATAGTTGAAAAAAAAATAGGTTTTACTTGATGTAGCATTGTGTTTCTTTTATTCTATTTTAGCCTCCCTGATTGATCCCTTGCATTTTTTGTTTGTTTCCTTGTAAATCTGGAATGTCAACGGTTCCCTTCTTACTTTATACTTTTTTAAAGGCCTGTTATACTAGAATGTATCCACATGTTTAATTTTATTCTCCATATGGTACACAATGGGAAACAATGACTACTTGTTTAGTTAATCTTTAAAACACCCCCACTTGCCTTACGTACTCTTTGCTGCAAATATTTTGCCCCATTGAGTGTTATGCAACAAAGAACTCAGCTTTCTAAAGTTGGCCTTTTTAAAATTCAGAGTTTGTCATACCAACACGCATTTTTTTTCTTGTAAGTTAAAGAAAATGTGATTACACTATGCTCGCTATTACCAAAGTTTCCAACTTGCACATGTGTGTTGTTTGAGATTTAATAGATCCAACAGAGCATTTTTCCTTTTTGGAGCTTCCACCATCTGTTCCATGATATTGTCCTGCAATAAATTTAAGAAATGACAGGCGTCTGAGTGTGCAATTCAATTTGCCAGATCAATATTAGGATATTTAAAATCACCCATAATTATTAATTTTGCCCTGCTTCCCAGCCATTTTGATCTGTAAAAGGACCCGAGATTCTCATCCTTTGTTAGAGGGCTTATAACATACCCCCATTGGTAGTTTACTATTTGTTGCACTCTTTGGAGGTCCACCCATAACAACTCTGTAGCATCACAGTTCTCATTAATGATATACTGTAATCTCTCAAATTCACTTTTTAGACTGCTCGTCATATACATGTATACCTCTCCACCTTTTCTGCCAGTTCTGTACCTCTGAAATATAGTGTATCCATTGATATAACCAGCCCAGTCATGTTATCTGTCCAACCAGGTTCCCTATAATCCCACAAAGTGCTTTTGAGTAACAGTAATTCATCTATTTTGTTTGTCAGGCTTCTTGTACAATTAATGTTTAATAACCTATTAGAAGTAATGTTTTACTTGATTTTACAACTTTTTTTTATTGGATTGAAACTGGTAGTAAAGACTTTTTTTACTATTTAAAATACTAGACCCCCTGCAAGTTTAAATCATAATGTAGTAGTATGCAATGCATACTACTACCTTATGACAGACTTGCCTACAAACAGAGCCCACTAGCTCTGCCTTGTCATGGTTCCCCAGTGCTGCCATCTTCACCCGGTCTTCCTTCTGGGTTTTAAACCTTCAGCCACTTGAACGGCTGGGCAGCAGTGAAGTCACTCCTGCTCATGTGCATGCCAGACATATCTCCACGGCATGCAGGGCAGGCCATAAATGTGATTTGAACTGTGCATGTGTGGCTCAGATCACATTACCCACTGACAGGCAGTGAAGAGATTTATGACAGAAGAGACCTCTAGGACCCTTTATGTTATAAAATTCCTGCTTGTCAGCAGATGTTGTATTGGATAAGTGTACTACTACTTTAAAGTAGAGCTAAACAGAATCCGAGCACCACAAGCCAAAAATGCTATGTAGTTACTTGTTAATACTCAAAGCAAACTTACCCATAAATCCATCCATGTCTTCTTGCTTTATTTTGCTGGGAAATAACCCCCTAGCTTTTCTGGCCATGGCCATTTTGAGTAAGGGTAGATGATTCATGTACATGGGGCATGCAAGTCAAACCGGAACATTTAATTTTACAGGGATAATAAAAAGGGATGCTAGCATGGCGATACTACAAGCAGTACTAAGTGGCAACTGTGTCCTATTACTGATAGGTGGTGCACATGTCGCAGGCCAGTCCAGAGGCTGTTAATCAAAATGGCAGACACCAGTGTTAGTGCATGCATGGAACAGTGTGTGGTGATGAAGTTTCTTGTGAATGAAGGCTTAAAACCCAGGAAACATTTAAAGCACAGTATGGTGATGAGACATTTAGCTGCTTTAAGACATTTGAATGGTGTAAACATTTCAAAGATGGCCAAATGTGATGATCCTAGCCATGGTGGTTCCCAGTCTACAGCAGTCATTCCTGTGAACATCCAACTTGTAGAATGCCTGATCCTGGATAATTGACGCATAACCTGTTGTGAAATTGCACAAGAGACAAAAATTTCTTCGGGAACAGTGAACACAATGATGACAAAGTGAAGCAAAATGTCCTAGGATAGTTCAGGCATACTGACAAATCTTGCTATGCCAAATCTTGTCAGGCATTAGTTAAATGCTGGGATAAGTGTATAAATGTAGCAGGGGAGCATGTAAAAAAAATAAATGCAGTTTTCACTTCTTGAAATTTGTTATTTTATTATACTTGAGGTGATTGTAGCTGTATTAGTGCACTTGCGACAGAAACAATTGAGTACTGTCCATGATACGTTTTTTATTTGCACTAAGATACAATTTTGAGGACAAGCTTTCGGGGGAAGTCCCCTTCTTCAAGGTCCAAGCAGTACTATTACAATGTTTTAGCAGAATATTAGAAGTTGGAGATGAGAGAAAAAAAAAAAAAAGGCAGAAAGAAACACAAGCCTAGGGTTAAAACTAGAGACCCTTTACTAGAGATAAGATACAGCAAAGCAAAAGCAAAGACTGGGGGGGGGGGGGGGGGAGGGGAGAACAAAGATCACAGAGTCATAAAAATGTCAGACAATGATTGAGGAATCCCATGTCCAAATTAAGGCCGTTATCTCTTGTGTCAAATAGAATTATCATTCTTAGTTCAAAAGTTTTTTCTTTCCTGAATGGATTTGAAATTTCCTTTCAAAGCTAAAACATTGAGGTCTCCCAAAGTGTGGTGTTGTGCGTAATGGTGTCCCACAGGTGTGCAAATGTTATCTTCTTTATGTTCCTTGATAGTATGTCTGTGCAAATTCATCCTTGTTTGCAACTTCTGTCCTGTTTCGCCAACATAAGATCCTTTGTCACATTTTCTGCACTGGATAGGCTACACAACATTACTAGAAGTGCAGCTGTATGATCCAGAGATATTGAAGATCCCTTTTGAGTGTGTTATACTTTTTGATGGATTGATTTGGTTGCACAGTCTGCAGCGTTTTTTATTGCAGGGTTTGCTTCCATTATTTGTGATCTCATAATCAGAAGGAAGTTTCCTACTGATTAATTTATTTCTGAGGTTGGGGGGTTGTCTGAAGGTCAGTATTGGTGGTTGCTGGAATATTTCTTTCAGAGTTTCATCCTCTGTTATGATGGGTTGTAAATCTTTGATTATTTTTCTTATTCCTTCTAGTGCTGGGTTGTATGTGGTTACTAGAGGTACACGGTTGTTTGTTTTTTTCTCTTTTTACTGAAGCTGATTTTCTCTTCGGGTTTTCAAGGCTGTGTTTATGCTGGTGTTGATAGCTTTATCCTTGTAACCTTTCTTATGGAAGGAATCTGCTAGTGTCCCGAGATGTGTATCATTGTTTGAAACCCTAACATCATTGGACCCTACCAACATTAACCAAATCAAGAATTAAATGAAAACTCTACAAAAACAAAAACTTGCAATGAATGGGAAACAAAAAAAACTTCAGAAGCTACACCAAGAGCAGACCTTTTGGATACAACCTAAACATAAAAGCAACCCCACATCTATACCTCCTACTATCAGTGACCTGCAATCCAAACCGGAATCCCAAGGTATCCCTTGTGTAAGTGCTGACCTGACTGAAAATGTGGATATAACAGAGGAACTTGGAATCATCAACTTGTCAAATCATAAACCTTCTGAACCAGAATTAACCATCCTCTCCAAAGGCTTTAAATTCTGCCCAACCACCAAATTGGATCATTTACAAGTTTTGTCAGATATGGAGGATTTCTTCAGGAGACTAAGGCTCAAAGAATATTTCCACAGCAATGAAAGGAATCCCAGGACAATGGAGTGCTACACAAAGAAAAAGAACAGCTGCTTGACACGTTCACAAGGACGCAACCCCAATCTGGACACCTATATTGATAGCTTCAGACTGCGAGCTACATCCCTGATATCCACCCAGCAAAAGTAAATTCTGTAGAATCTTTCACCACTAGAGCGACGGGCTATACATGATTTGCACAATAATCAGGCCATCACCATCAAACCAGCGGATAAAGGGGGAGCAGTTGTTGTGATGGATACAAACAAATACATACAAGAAGGCCAGAGGCATCTGGAAAATGCCATTTACCATAAAAAAATGGATTATGATCCGACCCAGGACTTTACAAAGCAATTAAAAAGCCTCATTAAAACACTTCCAGTCCAGCTACATTCAGAACTTATAAATGCGATTCCGGATCATCCAGAAATCGGTGACTTCTACATGCTACCCAAAATCCACAAGCCAGGAAATACAGGCAGACCCATCATAACAGGTATGAATACACTCACCGAACAAATCTCAGGCTTTGTAGAAGAAATTTTAAAACCGTTAGTAAAGAATACTGCTAGTTTCCTGCAAGACACCACTGACTTTCTGAACAAGATCAACAACACATACAGCAATTACCATCTAATACACTTCTAGTGACCATGGATGTAGTATCCCTGTATAGTAATATCCCTCACAAGGATGGATTATCTGCATGTCACAGATCCTTATCATCCTCACCAAACCACAAATACACTGCTGAGGATGTTACACAGCTCATTGAATTCATACTTACACACAGCTACTTTGCCTCCAATAAAGACATATATCTTCAATGTATGGGTACTGCGATGGGAAGTAAAATGGCTCCCCAATATGCCAATTTATTTATGGCTGACCTGGAGGAAAAATTCCTGAACAGCATGGAACAAAAACCATACAGATACTATCGCTATATTAATGATATTTTCATCATATGGACAGAAGGTGAAGAAAACCTAAAACAATTTTACTCATTGATCAACACTTTCATGCATCAATCAAACTAAAAATGGAATATTCAAACACACACTTCAACTTCCTAGACACCACAGTACATCAGGGATGATACGCTTCACACCTCAATATACAGGAAACCCACTGACAGATGCAACTACCTCCACAGTTCCAGCTTTCACCCCCAACACACGAAACGTGCCATCATACACAGTCAGGCCATTAGATACCACCGACTATGTTCTGACCCAAGAAACAGAGATACACATCTCGGGACACTAGCAGATTCCTTTCATAAGAAAGGTTACAAGGATAAAACTATCAACACCAGCATAAACACAGCCTTGAGAACCCGAAGAGAAAATCTGCTTCAGTACAAAGAGAAAAAAACAAACAACCATGTACCTCTAGTAACCACATACAAACCAGCACTAGAAGGAATAAGAAAAAATAATCAAAGATTTACAACCCATCATAACAGAGGATGAAACTCTGAAAGAAATATTCCAGCACCCCCTATACTGGCCTTCAGACAACCCCCCAACGTCAGAAATAAATTAATTAGTAGGAAACTTCCTTCTGATTATGAGATCACAAATAATGGAAGCAAAACCCTGCAATAAAAAAAAAAAACGATGCAAACTGTGTAACCAGATTAATCCATCAAAAAGTGTCACACACTCAAAAGGGATCTTCAATATCTCCGATCATACAGCTGCACTTCTAGTAATGTTGTGTACCTTATCCAGTGCAGAAAATGTGACAAAGGATCTTATGTTGCCGAAACAGGACAGAAGTTGCAAACAAGGATGAATTTGCACAGGCATACCATCAAGGAACATAAAGAAGATAACTTTTGCACACCTGTGGGACACCATTACGCACAACCGGACCACACTTTGGGAGACCTCAATGTTTTAGTTCTGAAAGGAAGTTTCAAATCCATTCAGGAAAGAAAAACGTTTGAACTAAGAATGATAATTTTATTTGACATAAGAGATAAGGGCCTTAATTTGGACATGGGATTCCTCAATCATTATCCAACATTTTTATGACTCTATGATCGTTGTTCTTCCCCCCCCCCCCCCCCCCCCCCCCCCCCAGTCTTTGCTTTTGCTTTGCTGTATCTTATCTCTAGTAAAGGGTCTCTAGTTTAACCCTAGGCTTGTGTCTCTTTCTGCCTTTTTTTTTTCTCTCATCTCCAACTTCTAACATTCTGCTAAAAACATTGTAATAGTACTGCTTGGACCTTGAAGAAGGGGACATACCCTGAAAGCTTGTCCTTAAAATTGTATGATAGTGCAAATAAAACAAGTATTACGGACAGTACTCAATTGTTTATTTTATTATATAAACTAAAAAGTCTGTCTGACTTGACTTGTTTGACTTGAACATCCCTCGTAGCAATTCCTTCCTGGAATACATATGTACTTACCTCAGGCCTGCAGGCAGGAGGGTGTGCTTAGCTGAAAAAAAACCCTCCATCTCTCCTCCAGATGAAAAACAAACAAAAGCCATGGAGACTCAATATATGCATGACATCATTTCCATGGCTTAGGCCTGGAAACGGGGAAGTAATTGAAGAAATGTGAAAAAAAAGTAGTTTAAAAGAAATATGCTATACTTTCCTATCTATTTGTTAATGCTAGCAGCATAAGGTCTAAACATAGTTAATGTTAATTAAGAGAGTTTAGTTTCCCTTTAAGCCCCCTACTAGTCTACTCTCCTCTATATCCTGTTTCCCTGTAGACCCTTTAAGCATTTACTTACATTTTACATTTAATGGCCCTTTAATATTGTGTATATACTAACTCTGTGTTTGATTATAACCATTATTAATAGATCAAATTTTGCAATTTCAAAACAAAAAACTTTTTTCAGAACAAACAGATTACACAGCATTTCCTTTGCATAAATAAACTACACTTACTTGTTTAAAGAAAATGTATTAATCATCTGTCATGTAAATCAGATATGCACTAAAGAACTGGAACTACTGATAAAAATCTCATTTTCTGTTTAGCCTTAAGCATTCGTTTGAATCTGTATATAGTCTCAAAAAGAGTATATGCTAGTATGCTAATGCACAGAGTAGTAGAACATTTAAAGGAGAAGTATGGCCAAAGCTCTTTTGGATATACACTCTATTGCCAAAAGTATTTGGACGCCTGTCTTTACAAGCCCATGAACTTTAATGGCAATCCAGTCTTAGTCCATAAGGTTCAATATTGAATTGGCTCACCCTTGGCAGCTATAAAAGCATCAACTCTTCTGGGAAAGCTGTCCACAAGGTTTAGGAGTGTATCTATGGGATTGTTTGACCATTCTTTCAGAAGTGCATTTGTTAGGTCAGGCACTGATGTCAGACAAGAAAGCCTGGCTTGCAGTCTCCACTCTAATTCATTCCAAAGGTGTTCTATCGGCTTTAGGCCAGTCAAGTTCTTCAACCCCAAACTCTTTCATCCATGTCTTTGTGGACCTTGCTTTATGCACATGTGCTCAGTCATGTTGGAACAGGAAGGGGCCATCCCCAGACTGTTTGAGAGCATGAAATTGTCCAAAATGTCTTGTTATGCTGACACTTTGAGAGTTCCCATCACTGGAATGAAGGGGCCAAGTCCAACCCCTGAAAAACAACCCCATATCATAATCCCCCTTCCACCAAACTTTACACTTGGCACAGTGCAGGCAAGTACCATTCTCCTGGCAACTGCCAAAACTAGACATATCCATCAGAATGCCAGAAAGAGAAGCATGATTCGTCACTCCAGAGAACACATCTCCACTGCTCTACAGTCCAGTGGTGGTGTGCTTTACATCACTGCAACCCCTGAAAAACAACCCCATATCATAATCCCCCTTCCACCAAGCTTTACACTTGGCACAATGCAGGCAAGTACCATTCTCCTGGCAACTGCCAAAACTAGACATATCCATCAGAATGCCAGAAAAAGAAGCACGATTCATCACTCCAGAGAACACATCTCCATTGCTCTACAGTCCAGTGGCGGTGTGCTTTACATCACTGCATCCGACGCTTTGCATTACACTTGGTGATGTAAGGCTTGGATGCAGCTCCTCTGCCATGGAAACCCATTTCATGAAGCTCCCTATGCACTCTTGTTGTGCTAATCTGAAGGCCACATGAAGTTTGGAGGTCTTTACCTATTGACTCTGAAGATATTTGGTTACTTCTGCACAGTGTGCTCTTGAGCATGCGCTGACCCCACTCTATCGTTTTATGTGGTTAAGTTGCTGTTGTTCCCAGCTGCTTCCACTTTGTTATACTACCACTAACAGCTGACCATGGAGAATTTAGTAGCAAGGAAATTTCATGGATGGACTTATTGCACAGGTGGCAGCCTATCAAGATGCCACACTTGAATTCACTGAGCTCCTAAGAATGACCCATTCTTTCACAAATGTTTGTAGAAGCAGTCTGCATGCCTAGGTGCTTAATATTATACACCTGTGGTCATGGAGGTGATTGGAACACCTGAATCCAATTATTTACATGGGTGTCCCAATACTTTTGACAATATAGTGTACTTCCCCTATGGGTCACAGGAGTGCACTTTGTTCTGTACTCCTGTAACTGACAGTCACTTGCTCTCTGCAGCCTGAAGACAGAGAGCTAAGCAATCAGTGGTCTTTGATCAGTTCTCAGTCTTAGAGTCAGTGGGGGACAGACGCAACATGGATTGATGCTGCATCCACCTAGGTGAATATATATGTTTGTTTTTCTATACAATTTTTACCACACATTTAACAGTTTTCCAAAAGAAATATCAAGTTAGAGATCTTGAATAAATATTATTACGTCCTTATTAAAGCACACCACTATTGTTTTATGCATTTTTGTAACATTCTCCCTAGTAGTGCATGCACAGTGGATGCTACATGTAGTACTGCCTGACAAGATAACTGGGGCCAAAAATTGGGACACAGCATTGAAAATTCAGAAAAAAAAACAGCAGCAGCTCCTTGAAGTTCTGACAATCCTTAGATATTAACATTTCTAGTCAAAAATGTTCTTACATGGGTACTGGGGGGAAGGGGGCTGGCAGCTTTGGCATTCTCAAACAGTAGTATTAGCCAGAAGTTATGTAAGTTAAAAGAAGTAAAAGTAATATATTTAAAATATTATCTGCTAAGATATTACTTAGAGATTGGGCCTGACAGTCCTCAGAATCCTAAGGGTGGCAAGGTAACTAAAGCAGTAGGAAAAGGTGCACAAGTAACAAGCCATTCATTGTAAAAAAACTGTTCTAGTGATGGTAAGAGCTATCTTTAGGGTTGGGCCTGGCAGCTAGCAGGAACCCTTGATCACTTATTCCAGATATTGTGCCAGGGATACTAAAATATGGAAAAGTGCTTATCCAACTAAGCCCTGTGGTAATACTGTATAAGGATGATGAGGAATTTCATCCCCATATGTCTCTTGGTCTTATCTCAATTGGACCTGTGCCAAGCACAGGTTTCACACCACCATACTGCTGTCAGCATAAAAGTTGCCAGGCCTGTATCACCCCACTTACCATTCCTGCTGGTTGGTTTGGTGTCCAGCCGATCAGATGCTTCTTAGTATTTTCCACTGCAAAACCTATTTTCTCCACTCGATCAGACTTCCCAGAACCCCTCAATCTGCTAAATGAGAATCCTGGGTGACATCTAATCCTGTTGACACTGTGACAAGGCTTAGCACTGTCACACTACGGGTGAAACTCGAAAAATTAGAATATCGTGCAAAAGTTCATTTATTTCAGTTCATTTATATATAATGCAACTTAAAAGGTGAAACTAATATATGAGATAGACTCATTACATGCAAAGCAATATAGTTCAAGCCATGATTTGTCATAATTTTGATGATTATGGCTTACAGCTCATGAAAACCCCAAATCCACAATCTCAGAAAATTAGAATATTACATGCAATCAGTAAAACAAGGATTGTACATAGAACAATATCAGACCTCTGAAAAGTATTAGCATACATATGTACTCAGTACTTGGTTTGGGCCCCTTTTGCAGTACTTACTGTCTCAATGCGGCGTGACATGGAAGTTATCAGCCTGTGGCAGTGCTGAGGTGTTATGGAAGACCAGGATGCTTCAATAGTGGCCTTCAGCTCTTCTGCATTGTTTGGTTTCATGTTTCTCATCTTTCTCTTGGCAATGCTCCATAGATTCTCTATGGGGTTCAGGTCAGGCGAGTTTGCTGGCCAATCAAGCACAGTAATCCCACGGTCATTGAACCAGGTTTTGGTGCTTTTGGCAGTGTGGGCAGGTGCCAAGTCCTGCTGGAAAATGAAGTCAGCATACCCATAAAGCTCGTCTGCGGAAGGAAACATAAAGTGCTCCAAAATCTTCTGGTAGACAGCTGCGTTGACCCTGGACTTAATGAAGCACAGTAGACCAACACCAGCAGATGACATGGCTCCCCAAATCAACACAGACTGTAGAAACTTCACACTGGACCTCAATCATCTTGCAGTGTGTGCCTCTCCATTCTTCTTACATACTCTGGGTCCTTGGTTTCCAAATGAGATGCAAAAGTTGCTCTCATCAGAAAAGAGGACATTGGACCACTGAGAAACAGACCAGGTCTGTTTTTTTTTTTTTAGCCCAGGTAAGACGCTTCTGACGTTGTTTGTTGTTCAGGAGCGGCTTGACAAGAGGAATACAACATTTTAAGTCCATGTCCAGGATCCGTCTGTGTGTGGTGGCTCTTGATGCACTGACTCAATACTCAGTCCACTCCTTGTGAAAGTCCCCAACACTTTTGAATGGCCTT